TTTGTAACAAGGGTTTTCAAAACATGTTATGTCTTGATATTTGTCCCCTAGGGTGATACTTTTGCTGGATTTGATCAAATGACAGATCGGTTAATAAGGGAGATTAAAAACCATATAGAAGTCTTCAGGTTAAAGCCTAACAGAATTAGGTAAGTAATAGAGAGTTATGATAACTTAAAGTGTATAATGTACTGTATATATTTCATTAATATGAAATTAAGAAGTAAAATGTCATTCTATAAGGTATATTGTTATTCTCTTCATTGCAAACATGATACATCAATGACATAAATTCAATCATAAAATAAAATATTCTATAAGTAGATAAGTGCATTTCTCTTAAAAAGCTATCAAATTGTTTACATAAAAAAAACTGACGTCATTCTACCATGGTGATGAATTTCATTTTGTGAGAAAAAGCCATTTTCATACTGAGTTTTGTTACCGCAATAATGCAAGAATCTTCCCGGCATTGTCTTTTGTATGAATACGTCGGGCATAACCACAGCCGCAATACTAGGGTTACGTGGCATTCCATCTCAAACCTAGTAATAATACCGCAATACTGCTGTTACTGTGCATTCCGGCGTGTGTCTGAAAAGAAAGCAGGTCACATTCCCACATTACTTTATTCAGTCCTAAATAAGGATAACGAATTGGACAAATGTTGAGAAAAGGTGAACAGAATTTTTGGTATAGGGGTGAATTTGACTGATAAGAAATTTGCCAATGTTCAGGATAATTAGATTAATGAACTACAAAATAATAAAATTGACCTTTATTATCCTTAAAACTCATTTACATAGTATTATTGGGAGTTAGGGGAAGGGTGTTTGACTACCTCGAAAAACACAGCAAATTAAAATTCTTGGAATTATTGATATAACGTGTACAGTAAGGTACAGTAGGCCGGTTATCTCAGAAATCTAGGCCTAGCATAATGGTTCATTCCAACTTAAATTTTGTACAATTGACATTAACAATGACATGCTAGAGTACGTAATCCATTCATACAGAAAGGCCTTATATTATGGCAATATTACCACAAAATTAGTTTAGTATAAAAGGATGCATGCTGGTAAGCATACAGGCATCACTGTTGCTATATTGCCAGCCCGTCTGCCTGAAAGTGGCTTAAGATAAACTTCATTTATATATACTTCATCCCATTATGAAATTTAATGGGTTTTTTATGTACTGTACTTGTATTATATATTTTTTTTTTGTTGGATTATTAATGTTTTATTGTGCATTCACTAAATTAATTATTCTTTCTTGAGGGATAATTTTCAGTAATCTTGGTTTTCTTATGGCACTTTATGCTTTTCCCAGTTAATATCCTTTTGTTTTTCTCTATAGTTTTATTGGACATTCACTAGGTACATTGATAGTCCGGTCAGCACTGTCCAAGCCTGACTTTGAACCTTGGCTGGACAAACTATACACATTCTTATCGCTATCTGGCCCGCATCTTGGACAACTGTTCAACAGTAGCACTCTAGTCAACACAGGTGAATAAATCTTTGTCCAAACTATTAAATTTTATGTGAAAAAAAAATGTGATATGCCCATATTTGAATGTAATATGACATCATCATGCTCATACAGTATATGGGCACATCACATTTTTTGTCACATAAAATTTGATAGTGTAGGCTTTATATATGTTACATGAGAACAAAAATGCGTGCTGTATCACTCAATTAAAAGTGAATACAAATATAACTGATATTCACCTTGTTTTGAATTAACTGTTCTTATTTTAGAAAAACAAGCTTTCACTAGGACAAGCTTCTTCAGGTGAATAAAGTGAATCACCTGAAGAAGGTACAGTATTGCTAAAATATAAATTGTTAGTCAAAACAAGGTGTTACCTGTTTATTTGTTTTTATGCATACTATAGTTTGTTTTAAGTTGATACTCAATTGAAAATGTATGATTTTAAACGTATCTTATTATGACCTTTGACACATTTGTTTTTTTGTTGTATAATTTAATACCAACATAGCAGAGCACATCAGAGAACCTGCATCACACAAAACCTGTATCTAAAAATTCATGTAAATGTAAACTTTTGGAAGGCAGAACACTATTGAAAATTTAACAGTGGATTTTCCTTTCGGAAAGCAATATAAATATCAATATATTTCCATATTATAATGGAAATATATTTTATTTATGCTTTTAGTTACTGTAAAAGTATTCAAAATATATTAGTAGAAGTGGTTTGTTGCAGCAGTTGCATTTCTGCTTCTCAACCTTAAGGTCAGGGGTCAAGTGAGTACCAGGTTGATTAAAACTTAAACTTAACTGATTACCAGGTGCAAAGTTATAATTCGTCCCAGGGAACTGAGTATGTGTTTGATCCAATGTCGGCTATTTCAAATGTGAAGTTTGGAGCCTGGTTGGCATGAAATGCTATATGAGACTAATGTTTACTTATTATTATTATAATTATTTTTTACTAGGGATGTGGTTTATGCAGAAGTGGAAAAAGTCATTTTCTTTACTTCAAATGACTTTGAAGGATAATCCTGACCCCAGACAGACATTCCTGTATCAATTAAGTGAAAAACCAGGTGAAGGCATCTCAGTGAATTTCTTTGCTTTCATTTGGTGATGTTTGTGGTGGTGGTGGCAATGAAGATGGTTCTTTTTGTGGTGGTGGTAATGATGGTGGTTCTTTTTGTGGTGGTGGTAATGATGATGGGGGTGGTGATGATGATTGTTGTTGTTGATGATGGTGGTGGGGGTAGTAGGTTGTGATATTGATAGTAGTGGGATTGATATTGATAGTTATGACAATAATGGTGATAGTGGTGGGGTTAGGGTGGGGGTTAGTTGTGGCAGTAATGGAGATAATGGTGGGGGTTGTGAGGACAATGGTGATGATAAGTGTTTGATGATAACTCAATTTTCTAATTTCCAAATTTCCTAATTTCTCTCTAGGGTTTTCTTTGTTTAAGAATGTCCTTTTGGTTGGCTCATCTCAAGATCGCTACGTTCCTTTGCACTCTGCGAGAGTTGAGAAATGCAAGGCAGCGGAAAAAGACAAGTACATCTGGGGTAAGTCAACGTCACTCTTTTCACCATCAATTTTTATATGCAAGACTTTTTTTGATTATTTTTCTGAATTTGCAGTAGGCCTAAAATTTGTTCATCTACATCTGCTTTTCCTCCATTTTTACTAATACTATGATAATAATGTATAAAAAAAATAGTCAAATTATATACTTTCCGGAAAACCTATTATAATTTTTGTCGGGATTATACTGTAAGTTTGTCAGGAAACGCTCCTTTGCCTATTCTTAAAATTTTCTCAAAACATAGTGGAAGCTGAGGTTGATATTGACTCTTCCTGTTGGGTACATTAGACCACTCATTGGGGACTTCGGAACACCCCCCTCCCCCAACTCGTCAGAGAATCTCTTGTGCCGCAACTATGTTTGCATCTAATTTGTTCAAGACATAATTTTCATTTGAAATATCCTTCACTAGGTTATAAACCATTACTATTCTAAATGATAATGGCTCACTTGTATTGACTCTGTCTTATATTTCAGGAACTGTGTACAACGAAATGCTGACAAACATCATGAAACCAATAGTTGACAATCCAAACGTGGAACTTGTGCGGTATGACGTACACCACGCGTTACAGTCGTCTGCCAATTCTCTTATAGGCCGAGCGGCACATATAGCATTCCTAGATTCCGATCTATTTATTGAAAAATTTATGATGGTAACTGGATTAAACTATTTCAAGTGAACCAATGAGATTGATTGATATGAAATAATAGCAGAGAAGAGCAGTTCTTGCCACAAGATCTGTAGAGGGCAGTCTTCATATTACAAAGACTGTTGAGGGCAGTCTTCATACTAAAACTGTTGAGGACAGTCTTCATCATAACAAAAAATAATGCTTAAAGGTCAGATGTGACAGAAATGCTTTAAATTGGCAGTCCAATGCCTTTTAACCAACTAGACGATGAGGTTTTGAGAATGTTTACATTTTAATAAGCATTATAAGATAACTGCCAGCTCAATATCATTATAACAAGACAGATATTGTTTTATAAATTTTAATTTTTGTACAAACAATTATGAATTTTAATTGTTTTAAGAAAATTATGAATCGATAAAATTGCCTTATATAATTTAATTCCATACAGAAATTGTGTCAGAATCATACTGTAAGATTTTGACACAATTTTTTGTACAGATATATTTGACATTGTCAATTATTTGGAAGGTATTGTTTAGGCAGAGCTAGATATGGTACATGTCTTATATACATAACCTTTTAAGAGTGAATATTTAACAAAGTTCTAAATAATACATAGGTCTGGATTCAGAACCTGTAAATTAAATGATTCCATTGAGCATTTTTAAAACATTTTTTTTCCTGTAATAATTGAGTGTATTTAAGAATTTATTGAGAAAAGTGCTTCAGTAGAATTAAGAATAACAATTATTTTCAGATGTTTGCTTAAAGTATTAGTATTTATGTCAATAATTATTTGATTATATATTTTTATATAAATAATAATTATTATGATAGTCCTCTATATTGTAACTAATAATTATTTATTGTAATTGACCAGTATTTATTATTGTAGCATCTTGATTATAATTTATTGTACTAAAGTTTAATGGTAATTATCATTGTTATTCATTATTATTATTATTATTGTTATTATTATTATTATTATTATTATTTTTCATTATTATTTTTAATATATTTATCACTCTTTTCGCATTGTTTTTGGTATTGTATTGATTATACAGTATTTAATAGTATTTTAACGCATTCGCTGGGTTCACCAAGGACGCCACATGTCATGTCTCAGTGGTCGCCAGACCCCGAACTCTTGCTCTGGAGGTTAAGGGAAGTACCCGGAAGTAATGATCTAAAATTAAAGGCTGTTATGTTTGTTTGTGTTTCATTATAGTTGATGGAATGATTTGCATGATGGTGGCACCCTTTATGCCTTCGCAACAAGGAAAAAGTGCCTAGCAGTCAACATGTCACACTATTATTATATTATTTGTTTACTTACTATGATATAATTTTTGTTTTATTACATATTTGAAATATTAAAAATGTACCTTGTGCCCTTCATTAATATAAATATTATTGAATTATGAAGTTTATATATTGTTAATATCAAGATTATTGTTATTTGACATTTTGTATCATAAAATTTCAACTGTATTAGATTATTATTGTTTACAATAGTTGGTTTCAAAGACAGTATTTTGTTAATGGTCCAAAATGGCTGAACAAAACTATACTTTCATAAATATAATTTTGGATTCATAATTTTTTTGTTAATCTTCAGGTTATTGTTGTTTGACATTGTGTCAAAAAACCAACTTTATTATTTCTTTACAACAGTTTGTTTTTTACATGTGTTAAAAACAGTATTATGTTAATGGTCCAAACTGGCTGAACAGATTTTATTTTTGTCTACAATTGAAATATTTTATGTACTCTTTAGTTTCGTTTAATTATGTGTATTATTCGTATAAACTTAATTTTATTTGTTATAGTATGAATTATAATTATTAGATTGTTCATAAGAATAAGATGGAATTATGAATTATGAATTTAACCTGGTAATTAAATGATTTAATCATGCATCCCTTTATACATATGAACAATTGTAACCACTCCTTTTGACTTGAATGTTTAAAATGTTTGATAATGTATAGGATAAAATTGTATTCATAGAAGTTTTGATTCTATCATAGAATAATGACATTTAAATACTATAATTGAAATTCCAAATTAATCTTTGTGGTTTGTGATTTTTTTAAATTTTAACTTTATTATTTATATTGGTTTAACTTCATTGTGTATTAAGTGTTGTCTTTGATTGTACTTTATTTCAGTTTCATAGTCTTATATACTCTATATCATGAGTTTATGTCACTTAGTTCTCATTCATCAGTTCTTATTTATTTCATTCAATCAAACACAGTGGCTTTTTTGTATTGCATTACCTTAATGGAAATAGGATCACTGTAGCTATAAGATTTAATAACTTACTGATAAAGAATAATATGAAATTGTGAATTACTTCTATTAAGTAATATAACTATTAATAAGCAAGCTGTCCCCTGGATTGTGCAAAATTGCATAATAATGACATTTGAATTTGCCCATTGTTTGTTTTTAATCAGTGCCTTTATATTTATAGTTTCAAGGATGGATAGTTTTTATTGACCTTTAACATTTATGTCATAGGTCACCTTGCCAAGATCTACAGTAATTATCATTGAAAATTCTGTAGAAAATCCATCTAAATTTGTGATTGCAATTTCTATACTTATATTTAAATAAGGTAACTTACTTGAAGTAGGGCAGTATCCAGGATTGCCATTGGGGATGAGAGGGGTGCGGGGGTGTATACGCACCCATCCCTCATCATACCCCCTGGATATGGTCCTATATGATAGTGAATTAACTCGTACTTCCAAGTGTACTTAATTTTTATTTGTATTATAAACAGTGTGTCGTGATTTTCTTCCAATTTATTAGAACAAGGAGTTACTATGTTAACACCTTAGTTAGGATCAATGCTTACTTGAATTTTAATTAACATTAAAATTTTAATTAGCAGATTGTCATTGTAGCCTGTAAGTGCAATATATTAAGATTGTGATTGTATTGAAGATTTGTTGAAGTAAAATCAATAAAACACAATTCCTGGATTTCAGATTCATTTCTAGTTTTATATTTTTTCTGTAATACCCTTTCATGTACATTCATCACAAAACTTTTGTGGTCATTTTGTAGTTGATTTATTCAAACACCAAAGATAACCCAAAAAAGTCTGAAGAAGACTTATTGTGGTGGTGATTGGGTAGTACACCCAGAGCCAATTCTGTACTCTTTTCTGAAGAGTGTACTGAGTTCTTTGACTTGCACACGGGGCCAACGGTTTAAATGTCTCCTCCAAAAGACGGTGGGCTATCGTAACTAATTGCATTCCAGCCCTCCAGCTGAAACACTTAAACAACTTCAACTTTAATTCACAAGGAGAGCAGTGATGGGAATTGAAAATAAATAATTTTATATTTGTGCCTTACAATATTATATACTGGAAAAGGTGACTGAGAAGCAATGTTGATATTTATCACTACCACAGGGTGATGCTGTGGGTGATGGTGACAGTGAATTGTCACTTCCATGATCAGGATGATAAAAATGATAAAAATTTAAATAGATAAAAATGTAAACCAATTTGCCTAGTAAGAAGTAAGAAGTCTCAGTTATTTTTAAGAATATTGAGTCTCATAGATAGTTGATACTTAAATTTGATGTTTTTTAATTATATTTTAAGAATTTACCAATGTTGACGCGTACTGATGTGAGTTGATGCAAGTTGACGCGAGACGCTGTTAGTTGTTGTTTGGGGGGGAAATATGGACGAAGTTTACTGTGCTTCGAAAGAGTTTTGCCCACGTTGTGGTACAATTCTTCCTTTCCCTATTAAAGGAAGTGTTATGATATCATGTAGAAATTGTTCATACCAGACAGATGCAAGAGGTTAGTAGAGCTTTGCCAAGGCCCTACCTATATCGTCACTTTGTACTAGACTAGGCCTAATCCGTAATTTCATCGGCTAGGCTAGCTAGGACTAGCCGCTACTACTACTAGGCCAAGGTCTAGGCCCTAGGCTAGGCCTAGAAGTGCCTTTTGCTACCCTACACTAGGCTGGGCATAGGGCCTATTATTAGCAGTAGAGGGCCTAGCTAGAGTAGCCTGTCGTACTGCTGGGTAGACCTGGACCCCGGTGGGGGCTCTGCTGGCTCCCAGCCCGCGTTTCAAATCACGCATTTTAAATATTTCAGGTTTAGTAACTATGTACATTAAGTACATGACAAAAAAATTCAAATTCAAGTAATTCCTTTGCAGCTAGTACCATTTGAGCATTACAGGTAACGTAGCATTACATTGATACCAAAATCATTGTCCTCCATCAAATATCAACAAAGTTACAGAATTTAAAATAAACTTATCTTTTCTGAAACAATTGCATGTTTTTGACAACCAAAACTTTCGGCAATTAATTCACACTCCTCACAAAGTAGGAAAAAATTGGTTTGATGACAAGGTCAAAAAGGAAAATGTGAGCTACGTCATGAGTATTTTCGGTTCATAGGGGAAAAAATACATACGACCTCTGCAGCCCAAACAATAGAGGGCTGTGCAGACAGTCAAGTTGCTGAAAGAAAATTTTAGCGGTGCCATGGTGTCACGCTCTCAACGGCCGATAGTCACGTACATGTACCTACCAGGTTGCAAAACATGGTCACACACTCCATCATCAGTTTCAGTGTGGGTGATCGCTGAACGTTCTTTAGGTTTTTGAGGTTGCATGTGAGTCTGTATGTGTTACATATACACAGTGATGACAGCAGAAAAGGATAAGGGTGACATTGCCAAGAAAAACAAGATCCACAAAATTCTCTCTGGCTTAGTCCTGAATTTATAATTTGATTGTTATTTTTTTTAAATTAGAGGAATTCAAAAATGTTGTATATCACACCCATATTCAAGTTAACACCCGGAAGAACAGGACAACAACAGTTTCAAATGAGGAAACGAAGAAAGACTATGGAACACTGGTCAGTATATGCTAAGCTTCAAAACTACACTTTTATAAATACAGTTAAACTTGCATAGTATAAGTCGACTTTGCCTAACTTTAATAATTTTGATCTAATTGTACATGCCAAATTGTTGTGTTTTTCATTAATTAATGATCTGTAAGTCAAATTTCATCGAAGACAAGTCAAACAATTTTTTAATGCCATTTTGGATTCGACAAGCAAGTTCAACTGTATAATTTTTGCATTGCCTATAACCTACATATCTAAGACTTACAAGACTATATAATGATTACAAGACTATATAATGATTAAAAATGTAATTGTTTGCTTTGATTTCCCATTGATTTTCTCCTTATCATCAAATCCAGTATGTTTTATGTAAAATTGCTCCACTTTTTTGCAAAAATGATATAAAAAAAACCTATTTAAACAAACACTAAACAGTATTGTTAATTACTATGTTTAAGCAGTCAGATTTCCCTTTTTTGAATTTCTTATAGATTGAAAGGCCGTGTGTAAAATGTGGTCACGACAAACTGCACTTTCACACCCGACAAACAAGGTCAGCTGATGAAGGTCAAACCGTGTTCTATTATTGTCCAGAATGCAAGTAAGTATAGTGAAGATTATGTGAATTTTGACATTTCCAGATTACTTATTTTTATTATACTGCGTACTGTAATTTACTTTTTTTTTTTTTTATTTTATTTCATTTCAAACACAAACATTTTATAATAATACAATAATGATTACATAAAAAAAAAAAAAAAAGCAAACTTAACAGAAAGTGACGATATACTGGAAAAAAAAATATAATTTTGTAATTTACTTATTTTGCAGATTTTAAGTTAATTTACATTTATTATATATATAATATATTTATTATATATTATTTATTATATATTTATTTATTATGTTGTCTTATTTCACGCACCATAAAAAAATAAAATGTGTAGGCCGATTATACCCAACAATTCATAATACTTTTGACCATATAATTATAAATTCCTTTTAATGAAGCTACTATACCGACTGAGGACTGTAATCCGTAACATAGAGGGCGCTTTATTTTGTGATTATTCCATAGAGGGCACTATATTGAATGAACAAGAGATAGATGGTGCTATATACACATTATAATTTAGTCTCGCTCTTTGGACCCCAACAAAATTGGCAGGTATTGCTTGAAAATGAAAATTGTTCTTTATCACTACGGTATTTGGAATTTTTTTTTCTAGACATCAAGAAATCGAATACAGTTGAAAAGTGTTTGTTATCTATGTTGTTTGGCCAATGAGGTTTCATGCTGGTTCACACTCGGTGGTCATGGGAACAGACATGCTGATGGTAAATGTGTTTGGCTCGATGCAGAAAGACTGGCACGGCTATGTTCTGTGATGAACAGTGCCAGCCCGTCAACATAGCCACATGAAGCTGCAGTAAGGCAACTACTGTAAAAAATGGGCCTACTAAAAACAGAGACTCCACTCACCAAGCATACCAAATGACGATCTCTTCACTCGTCAAGCCTTATCTTTACTGTCTCTTCGTCACCAAGTTGCCATGTTGCATTACTGTTTGATGCAATTTTAGAGCTTCATAGGATTTTACAATGAGTTTGCTTTTACTATATTGCCTGGGGTAATTTAGGGGGACCAGGATGGCCCCGGCCCCTCTTTTGGAAGGTAAAAAAGAAAGAAAAAATCGATCGCCCAAAATTCCTCAGAGGTTTTTTTTTTCGGGAATCTAGAATACAAACATTTTTTGCGGGGAAATGCCCCTGACCCCCTGTGGTTGTATTATCTTGATTGGCCCCACTTTTGGGGGTAGCCCCTTTTATGACATCTCTGGATCCTGCTATATTCTCTAGTTCTTGTCCGATGAAAAAGTATGCATTAAATTTATATAAATGTACTTGTAAACATTAGTAGAACCATGGTTAAAAAAAGCAAGAAAACACCATTACATCTTTTAGAAATCATACTTTATTCTCTCAGGTACCATGCTTCCAATAATGATGTTTTTTCAAATTATATAAATGTACTTCTAAACATCAGTAGAACCATGGTAAAACCAGGGAACAGTTAAATTAACTGTTGCCTGGTAAAATAAAACACCATTACATCTTTCAAAAATTATACTTTATTCTCTCAAGTACCATGCTTCCAATAATGATATTTTCAGTGCTTAACCGGAAGCTGAAAGTTGTCCTTGTATTCTGTTTCTTAAATGAAGTTTGTAGTGTGTTAACCAATCGATACAAAGTGTCAGTTTTTAGCCAGCTAATTATGTCATAGCATCATTAGCAAGAATTACCATTTTCCATGTAATATCAACCTGCCTACACAAATGAATTTTAATAGAAAACAACCATAGTGTGTGATGCAGTTGTCTATTTTGTAATGACAAAATTATAAACCAAAATAAATATTACTTTATGTCAGTTTTTTTTTCCCAATGACACATCTAGATGTCTGGAAATACCACTCTCTGAATGCTTTTATGTTGAAAATAATTTGTCCATTGTCAACTTAATTATGGACTACATTATGTATATCATTAAATGAAGAGATAGTCTTGTAAACTAAAATACCATTGTTTTTTCTTTGTTGATTTGTAATAAATTCAAGCATATTATGATGTATTAGGCAGGTGCCATTTGAACGCTTTGCATTAATTCTTCAATCCTTCAAGGCATCTCACCCCGAAAATCTCAAAAGAGAATTGGTTATAGGATACTTATAGCTCTCAATTTAAAATTTCCATGATCTGCTTCACCGGACGGATCACACTTACAATATTGTTAAAATGCTGATAATAGCATTAAACTGCATGATTTTTTATTTGTATTGAACTTGTGACACAGTTATGTGCAATTGAGACTATTGATTTAAAATTGTTGCCATAGTTACTACATCATCAGTGGTTTTGATCCTCCATCTCTTGGGGCATTCCCTTCACATGGTCCGTCCATCATGACAATAGTTTAGTGTCATTTTAATTCAGTTCTCAGAAATCATCATAATCCTCATCTCTTCCGTCATTTTCTTGTCGTGGTCCATACATAGTCAGCAGTTCAACAATAGCACTCATTATCTTCCCCTCTTTTGACCTCTTGCTCCAATTGGTTAATCCTGGTCTTGTGATCTTTGCTTCTAATAATTTATCTAATTCTTTGCGGAGGTCCTACAACAAACAATAAAAAGAAACTAGTTAATATACAAAATTAATATGATAATAGTAAACAGTATGAAATTTTTTTGATTAACAATTTATAACACATTGTATCACAATGTTTTGATGTGAGAAAGTAGGAAGTTACTGTTGTTGGATGCAAATTAAAATAAATAAAATACTCCTGTAATGTTGAAAAGTATGCTGACCTTAACAAGAGCTGCTATCCTTTCCTGGGATCTAAATGTAACTTGATCATCTACAGATATGATCTCTTGTCCGTCTTCATCAACACCGACGTGCAAATCACCACCAAAGAAGAGTAATGGGTACGGTTCTACCATGGTGGTATCGTGAAGGTACACCTGATGGGATAGCATAATACCACTTTAATAGCTCAACACTTTAATAACAACAGCGCCAGCTGGGGGCCAGAAGAACAAAGGCCAGCAATAATTTTTAAACCCCAACCAAATAGTTGAGAGCCAGAACCGCAAACAGCTTTGGTAACTGCTCTACCTGACTGAAATGATACCTGTTGTGGGCAGTTAATAAATGAATGTACAAGAAATAACCCTGGAATAATATAATTTAATAACATTAAAACCAGATAGGCAATTCCTCTTAAACCTACTGGCACAAGAATAAAAACTAAATCAGCAGCATAGTTTAGCTTATCCAACCTCGTCCCTCTCCTACCATTACTACCATGTAATTGATCTATCATTCTATGTAAAATACTCTGCAGGTGCAAGGAATAAGATCACTGAGGCATAAGCTACACTATTACTTACCCCGGACGATTTCAGTTTCAGATGATAAAGTAGGTAGTTACTAGGGAAACTGGTCTCTTTGGCGTTTACAGACTTGGGGTGTATGTCTACCTTTCCATCTTGCTTTGTGTAACACTTAACACTAAAGTGTAAGGAAGAAAAAGCAATAATTGCTATTAGATAATCATGATTTCTTTTAGATGATGGGCACTTTATACAACTGCAAAGTATGCTAAATAAATGGAATACAAATTATTTACTATAATTAATTTATGCAAACTATATGCAATTCACATTATTTCCGCAAGTACTTATTTATAGAATAACAGTCTCAGGAATTACTTCATGTTTTTCCACTAGTAATCAGCAAATGGTACAATATGCAAACCTACCAGGATAGAGGTAACTTGCAATGACATAACAAAGAGGGTGAGGCCACTCGCTAAACCTTCTTCAGCCCTACTACTACCCTAGAGGCTGGGGGAAACTTAGGGCATAGGGGGTACGGAAAGAATCCCTTGTCCATTCCAGCATATTTAAAGTTTTACACCTTAAATGGCTGAGTGCCCGGCTTAAAGGTCCAGGGCCCCAAGTTTTAGCCAGTGAGAGCGTATAGGTGTTACACCACTGATACATTGGATGATGTGATTACAAGGAAGTAATAATAAATAATAAATAAATGTTGTAAGCATCTCACCGTGGACCTTTTTTCAACATTCTTGCACTAACTTGACTCACATTGGGATAAAGTCCAGCACACAGGACAGCTTTAATTAACTGATCATTGTCTGAAAAAGATAAATATGTATCTATTAAAATTAAAAAATTATAGCTCTTTCCTGGCAAATATGGTTGTTTTCTGGGTAAAAAAAATCCTTGCTGAGCCACCAGGGCTCATAGGGACTGGAGCTTATCCCCAGGTTCTGTAGCATGAAGCAGATTAGATTTAAATATTCCTCATGCGTGGGACGCTGGTCCACCACAGATTACACCCAGCAATCTGCTGGTACCTATTGATGCAGCTGGGTAAACTGAAGCAATGTAGATAAACGTTCCTTGCTCAAGGACACAAATGAACCATTATGGTTGTTTTCAGGGTAAATTTATTGATCTATAATTATTCTTTTATTTATCTAAATGAAAATTAGCATAATCACACAGGCACCAAAAAGAAAAAAAAAAGGCTGTTGTATTATCACTTTGCATTTAATACTGCCAATTTCCAAACATATTGAGCATGCCAACTCCAGTTATTAAATTTACTACCAACACCAAAAACAACACCATCACAGTCACCACCACCACACCACACCATCCCAAATGTCAAGAAAAACATGAACAAAAGGAAAATATTCCCAGAGCTTTGTTTACCTGAATGGATATTAGCTTCATCTTGCTTACAATTTTTATCCATCACAAATCCAATGTTACACAATAGTTCACAAAATTGAGTCTTCATATTATCCAACATCTGAAAAATATGTAAAATATACATTCATGTATTTTCTTTAACTATATAAATTATATAAACAGGTGAATGAAGGAGAGAAACGATGAAAAATAAATCATATTCGTCTTTTCAAAGAGACGTTTTAATTCAGTGGCTCATGTGTATATGTAGTATACAAATACTGATAGCTCAAGAGGGGAATGGTAAAATCTACTGCCCCAAGGTGATGTAGAGATAGTAGCTGAGCTTCGGCCCTTCGGAAGATAGTAGGCTCTGGTCTCTACATCACCGGGTAGCTGTAGATTTAACTATTCCCTGAATCTAGAGTAGTCAATCTTTGTTTTATATACCTCATACATAGATTCTAGGCAGCCTAAAAAAAGTAATGTATAAGAGTACCAAATATGGCAAGTAGGCCCAGGGCCAAAGGCCTACTTCCTAGGTCTGGGCAGTCAAAGGGCCAATCTCTCTCATCGTAGAGGTCGCAGTTCCCTTCTACCGTCCATACATGTCATACATTACACAGGGATGTTATAAGTGTGGCCTAGAGCTAACAACGTGAGAGGGAAAAAAGCACTATCATTTAATGTGATAGTACTTTTTTCTCTGGGAATTTATGTACTATCATTCAACCTATGTCATAGGAGGGATAGTTAAAGTCATTACTTTTTGTTACAATGAGATGCCTGGAAACTATGTATGCGGTATATAGTACTGTATCTGTGAACAAGCAGGTATCGTTCACAGTGTACTACAAAATTCACCACCAGAAAAACCCCACTCAAAAATTAATTGTTTGGACTTTCATCCAAACCAAATTTTACAATTGAAACAAAATCAAAGAAATAAACACATAACAAAGAGCAGCAAAAAACATTACATTTAGGATTACTGACCTTTGTTGTGCCGAGGGACATGAAATTATCCCAGCAGAACGCCCTCTCAGCTTGCGCACCTGTAGCACGAGCCATTTCCCATTTACGGAAAGCATACACCATCATCAGATGATCGCTTTTAGATCCACACGACAACTTCCATTTCTGAACGTCTGCCTCCTTCTCCTTGCCCTTTAAAGAATAATTTAAAATAGTAATAATAATAGCATTGCTAAATATATTCTAAACAACTTTAATCTATTAAAGAAGACCGGAATACAACCACGATGTAGGGGTGTGGCATTTTCAAGCTTTTATTCATTAATTTGATATATTTTCCATCAATTTAGCTGGTGGTTTCCACTTTATCAGCTGAAATGTATTGGAGAGTAAGGATTTTAAGTCATGACTCCAGAATTAGGTCAAGGCCTAGTAAACACGAAACTGACCACGATTTAAATTATCACTCCTTTTTCACCAAAACAGAATTTAACTGTGTTAGCTTATTTATTTACTCAACTTTCTTTTATGAGGGTAGCTCTTACAGCGAGGCTGACTCAAAAAGGCCTTCATAACAAATACAAAAACATAATGGTAGTAGGTATAGCTGTGACAACTTACCAGTGGTGTGAAGAAAGGGTCTTTAAAACTTAAACAAGCTGCTATGGTAAGAATTGGATCCAGACAGCAAAACATAGCACCAAAGAGAATGAGACGACCAATCTTTGGCTCGACTGGGAGTCTAGCAAGGTGGTAACCAAGTGGGGTTAAATCCTCATTTTCATCAAAGGCATTCTATAACAGAAACAGATTACACAGTTATTCATGATTTAACTCCACCTTTAAACAAAAACTTGTTCAGATATATGAAAAACAAAATATCAGTTTTACCATTTGTTTTAGAGCTGTAAGTGCTAAAGTAATTGCTTTTTCATCTGGTTTATCCATAGCTTTATCAAGAAAGTTGCGCACAAGTCCAAGTTTTAGAGTCTGAAAAAAAAAATTGATCATTAACATTGCATCATGAAATAATATTGGAAACATGTATACTATTGTTGTTTTAATTGCATTTCTGCATATTTCAGATCATACATGAATTATTGATTAATTGTATACATGAATTGTACTTGCATTGCAAATTATTGTTATTTATTAGTTCTAATTCTACTGTAACTGATTCTTATGTCAATAAAAATAAAATTGTATGAAAAGATGCCAAAAACCCATATTAAAGGGACAATCTGAGCAATTTTTGCACCCCCCAGTTCCGCATTTTCAATTTTCGCAACCCCCTCCTACCCCAGATTGACACCAGCCAGTGCCCCTGTAGCACATGTGATTTTTAATATCCCACCTTGATCTGAAGGCAGACTTCTTCCAGTGGTGTTCTCTGCATCTCTGGCAGTTGGTAGTCAGGCATCATACTGTGGCGTAGCGTTGAGTACAGATGATAGCATTCACCGGGCTGGACTCTCCCTGCTCTTCCTCTTCGCTGTTTAGCAGCAGCCAGACTAGTCCACTCTGGTTGCAGGGTACTTATATTGTTCTTTACATCAAAGTTCTTTTCCTTCACTTTGCCAGCGTCTATGACAAAGACAACATCATCGATGGTTATACTCGTCTCGGCAATGTTGGTTGCTATGATGATTTTTCTGACACCTTTTGGTGGTCTATCAAACACCTACAAACAAAATTTAAGCATCACATCCAATAACATAAAAATAATAACAAAATAATAGTAATGATAATATTGTGAATCAATAACAAAAAATCATACTCATATTCTATAACAAAAAATGATGATGAGAATGATTTCTGTGATGTAGAAAACACAAAACACTTCTTTTTAAGTGGTTCTCAAAGCTTTTTTGGCCGACGACCACAACTAATCTTCAGGCAATTTGCCGCGAACCACTGCCGGGACATTCAGAAACAGGTACTCAAAATAGGTCATTAACTTGCAAAAAAAATTTAAGTAAAATGTATAAATGATACTTACAATACACTCTCTTTACCTCAGCAAAGAATTTAGCGTGATATGAAATTCAATTAAAAAAAGATCCTATCATCTCGCGACTTTCTAATTTCTTAGGTAACCCACAGTTTCAGAACCACTGCTTTAAGAGACATTCCCTACTAGATTTACTGACCTGCTGTTGGTTCACTGTTGGCATCATTGAGTGCAAAGGAATAATAAGGTAGTCTCTGGATTTGAACATCGCCTGTGACATTAACTTGTCATTTAAGCGACTTATTTGATCCCATCCAGGTAAGAAAATCAGAATAGCACCATCCTATAAAAGAAAACCCCAACATACAAAGCGTTAGTCTTTATTATTCAATAATACAGGTATACTACATAGTCTTTTAGAAGAGAGAATAAGGTGCTGCATACAACATATGCATCAGTGATGTGTCTACGGCGGTGAGCTGGGGCGTGCCCTCTCCAAAAGATGATTGCCACTCTCCAGACACCCCCCCCCCATTAATTTTCAAAAAATTATGCTCAAATAGTTTAAAATTCACTTCATATCACAATATTTTGCCAGATAGCACACCCCTTCCCCTGACATCAGGCCCTCCCATATAAAATGTGTACCCTCCCATCCACCCTCCAACCCCCATTCTAATACCCAGAGATAAACCTCTTTGGATAAGAGCAGGGATTGCCTTTGAAATTTAGAAATGTTCTAGCTTAAATGGTCTGTGTTTGCTTGCCTTTTACAGTACACATGTATAATCACTTTAATACAATGTTAATTATATTTGTTATATTATGGGGGGGGGGGAGAGGGAATCATATCAATTATTATGGCCTTTGATCAAGTTTGATTTTATTCCAGCAAAAGGCTGGTCTCTACTTACATCTTTCTCTCGTATGATGTATAAAATGGTTTGCAACATCAAATCATAGTCAATGACATCATGATCCATATTGACAAGGCTTTCTACCGTTTCTTCATTGTATCTAAATTCAAACCAGTAAAAACATTATTTATTCATCATGTACAACTGCCAAAAGATAAATACTGCAAGGACCATACTATTCCTGAAAGTATGCTTTGATTTTAATTTTTTTAAATTTTTTTTGTGAGTTTTGTTGGAATAAAAATATCATTATTTCAAAAAAATATTTATTCGAATGCTTTTAAATGCTGAAAATAATAACTGTCTTTCTTATACTATAATATGTTTGATAAAGAACAAATAAAGGATTTTATATTGCAAAAACATTTTTCCTTGAGCTGAGATTTTTAATAACTTGTTTTGAAAATTTATCGATCTTCGATTATTAAAGATCGTCAGAGAAGGGTGGAAAAAAAATTAAAATAAAATTTTGTTTTCCTATAGAGCAAATGGTTCTGCAAAAACATCCAGAAGGAGGCGAAAAAGAAATAACATTTAATTGTTGAAAGTAAACAATGTAGTAATTGGATGTTTGAATACTTTAAATTTTTATACTGTTGGGAAGAAATATACATATACAGTATTATTTTTTTAGATTTCAAGACAGCGGCGGGTGTAATGAAAATAAAGAAAATTTTTAATTTTTTTCTAAAATTTCCATTTTATTCATGGCGCCGGGTTCGTTATTTAGACAAAAATAAAATTTCATTTTTATTCAAAATCATCATTATTGGAGGGTGGTGGGTTCGCTAAATGAGGTATAAAAAAAGTCTCGCCTAAAGGGTGTCCAAATATACTTATTACGAAATAGAGGGGTAGCCTTGTTAGTCTTAAAGTGCTACGTGTCTGTCTTTTTACTGTGTGTATAATTTAGACTAACAAATATTTTATTAAGCACAAGCTTTTGTGAGAGTCACTTGGAAGGAGTTTGCTGTGTAATCAAAAGCTTGCGCTCAATAAAATTATTGTTGAGTTTTATAAGTGCTTTCTGTCATTTTAATTATTAGATATCAAAGTATATGACAACAGCAAAGAAAGTACAGAGTATTACCAAAGAATATTCCAATGTTCACAGGACTTGGACTCACAATTTGCTTTGTTTTTCAATATAGCCTGCAAACAACTCCTGAAATTCTTGTTCCTTCCTCATCTCCTCTTCCCTAAATTTCCTTCCTTTGGCAAATTTAACCCACTTAGGTTCAAATCGTTTGGTTTTTGGTGGAGGATGATACCTTATTGTAGAAAAATTAATTGATTCCATTATCTAATTGCATGAAAAATACATTTTTTTCATTCCAAATATTTTCATTATATAAATCGATAATAACTAAAATAATTGGAACAATACACATGCAAATTATAGAGAAGAGGTGGATCCATGGGGAGAGAGGTCAGTGGAACAATGGGGATAGTGTTCCCCCACACCTTTCCATGAAATAAGAGAGAAAAGAAAGAATGAAGAGGGGTTCACAAAACTCCAATACAGGCCAATGTACAGGCCTATAATTAAGTATTCCCACAAAAAAATATCTAAAACAAGAACCGGCTACCACCTCACACTGGGTGCTTCGCAGGAGACCAGTTTTTTCTCTACATCTGCCCCTGTACATATAATACATATAATAGTACCTCCAATTTAGGGAAGCATCTACACCTTTGATAATTTTCCTACCTTGTGAGTTGCAGCACATCCTCAATGAAGTACTCCTGTACCGGGAATGTGAATCCCGGAATGTTCAGCATGGGACTATCCCCGAAGTACTCGGAAAACTTGGCCGCGTTCAATGTTGCACTCATCAGGATTAACTTCAGGTTAGGCCTAATGATATCGAAGGAATTAAACAAATTTTGATTGGGTAGTGATAAAGTGGGATCCTATATAATCTTCAGCCTAGGAAGCCTAGAGGAAGAAATTAAGCACTCTCAAAGAAACACAGGCAGATTCAAGGAGGAGCCCAGCCAGCCCGTGCCTCCTTAATTTTTTTTTTTAATAGGGGGGGGGGGAAAAAGAAACTTGCATTCAATTTAAGTCTGGAGAGTGCCATTTCTGTCCACCTAGAAGTGCCATAGACTTAAAATTTAACCATTGTTGTGACATATGGAACAATAAATAAAGACTGAACTTGTCATAAAGCGGTTCATCCAGTGAACAGTTTATAAATAGACTTAAGGTTCCTTTACTAAGAGAATCTGGTGAGAACATTTGATATACATACAAGGACACTTTAAAAAATACCAAGAATATTGACATACAATCAAGGCAATATCAGGCAAAAAATATAAATTGTTTGCTTGCCCTTCTTTTTTTTAATAATGATAAATAGGGCAGGTGGAAAACTTTTTTTTTTAAGATACTCATCAGATAGAATAAAAATAACTCAGAGGCCTAGAATGGCAATATCTAGACTTGCCACAAGTCTCTAATTATAGGTTTTCCTAGCATTAGCTAATTTTGGAGAGCGCCATATATCAAGAAACTTTTATGCGAATTAGAAATCCAAGAAAAAGTATACTATGAAACGCCAAGCAAATAGGTAATATGGAACGCCATTGGTGCCAAAATCGATTTAAAAACAAAGATTAGGGACTGGAGCCCAGTCTAGGCAATATCTTACATTAGACAACAGCTTTAGACCAATTTGTAGGGCATCTGGCAAAAAATACAGATAAATTCACTCACATTTTATTTTATTTGTAAAGAAAAAAGCTAAAAAAAAACTTTTCTTAAGTTTTTTCGTTTTTCCGCCCCTATTTTTTTTTTTTAGCGAGTTAGGGGGGGGTGGAAGAGGGCAAACAAACAATTTTTTTTTGGCCTCATTAAAAAACTTTGATGATGTTTTAAATGAAGATTCAGTATAGAGTATTACCTTTTGGGAAGAACGTCTCTTAACATCATGAGAAGAAAGTCTGAGAGGACATCACGTTCATGAATTTCATCAAGGATCACATGACTTGTGCTACTTAAGTTGCTAGAAAAATTAGTGTATTGGATATAATTAATAAATACATTTAATAATTAATAAGTTATTTCTCACAACTGTTGATCTATTCATGTGCAAGTCTAATGTAGTTTATCCAAAAAACAAAGATAGTACCTATTGGAAAAAGAAAAAATACATAATCATCTATGATACTAAAATGACATTTGGAGAAACATCTCCGTCAATAATGAAGTTATAAATATTTCTTTGAAAAAAAAACAGTAAGTTCCCATCTGATTTTTAACTATTGCCCTTCAAATTCGACCACATAGTTACGATGCTTCAACTAACCTATCAAACTCCATCCATTTTAGTAAGATGCCTGTGGTACAGTACACGATACACCCTTGTAGTCGTGGAAACTCAGCTTCCAATCGAATCTGATATCCACAACTGTTACCATGGCCACACGCCTCAGCTCTCTCAGCTGCTACACGATTGGCAACCTAATAAGAAAGTGTTACATTATTTAGATAGTTTACAATGACAATATTGTTATTATGGCAGTGGCTATTGTTACACCAGTCTTAAAACAATTCCTCATTCTGATTGGTGGTAATTGATATAAGGATTGGAAGGCAATAATGTCCAGAATTAGGAACTGGTTTAAGACTGGTGTAATAATAGAAACTGTTGATGGACAATTCTAAAGTTAATATGTGTCAGCTAAACTAATGATGAAAATTTATATTTTGCATAATAAATTAATTATTAAAATGAATTAAATAAATAAATAAAATACATTAAAATTTAATTTATGACATAAAAATGTATTCTCCAAATCAAGTGTCATTCAATTAGCTGTAAATGAATTTGTATAAAGTATATAAAAAATCATCAAAATTAAAAAGCAATACACACTATAAAAGGCAATTTGATATACTAAAAAAGCAATTTATAAATTGTTTTCTATAGCAGTAAAATTCCTCATAAAACTTACAGATATTGCACTTATCCTTCTGGGTTGTGTACAAACGATCCTACATAATGAACCTTGACCTTTCCTTATATAGTCATCAAGAATAAACTGTGAAACCTGTGTTGTTTTGCCACACCCTGTTTCTCCACTCAAGACTACTACTTGACTTGAGTTAATGGCATCTAAAATTTCCTGTTAAAAAAATAAACCAATAGAGTTTGCTGCTAATGACCATCCAGAAATCACTTTGGACTTTTGTTAAAATTGATTACATGACATACAAAAAAGGACACACCAAAATAAATCAATTCAATAATAAAATAAATAAAGTTTAGCCTAGAAGTGAAAGTAGGCCTAAAAAATGTGAAAATTAGTCCAAAATTTACATTTTTTATTCCACAACATCACAACAAAATTCTTCATACCTTTTGTAGTTTGTACGATGGAAGCTTTTGTCTAAATTCTTGCATGCGCTTGTATCGTTCATTGTCTTTCTTTTTTTCCAACTCCTCTAAAAATTTTTCATTCAGTTTTGGTTTGTCTCTCAAAGTCTCTGAGTAAAATTTCCATTTTTCCCTGTTTTCACTATTTCCGGTATCATCTATGAATAGAAATAAATTTAGATTTATAGCCAACCAGAGGGTTATTCTTCAATGCCTTCATTTATTATTACTACTAATAATCTTCTAGATCATTTGCTGAAACTAACCAACCAGGAACATTGTATTGCACAGTATTTCAATTGCCATAGGCTCACTACATCCACCCACGGACGGACGGACGGAGAGATAAGCTTGGTGTTGTTTAAACAAGAAGATAAGGTAGATCATGTTAATCTCATATTTCCCCAACGTGAAAACTTTTCTAATGGAGATGTACAAAGCAAACATTTTTTCCACCAATCTGGCATTTGGCATCATATCCAAATTTTGGTAAAGAGAAAAGTTGGCAAACTGGGATGTGACAAACTGGCCTAGATTCAAAGATAATTCTAGTGCATGCTATTATTTAGGGGGAAAAAAAACATACATGATGTTTGCAACTTTGTCCAGGTTTCAAAGGAATAACTTAATTATTTTTATCTGCTATAGCACTCACAGTTCAATTCACTAAGGTCTGCCTCACTGGTTTCTTCACATTTCACATCTTCTAGCAAACGATCAATGCGATTTATATGACTATTCTGCATCATTACAGTGGGGGCCTGAGGAAGAAAGAAAGAAAATCATGAACTATCGTTGTTATCATTAAGGTATTCGACTAACCTGAAAATTTCTGTCAGTAAGTATATTTATTTTGATTTCTCTATTTTTTATTTTGCCAATAAAACAAACTACAAATCAAAATCCAAGATGGCAAGGAATGTTAAAAGAAATTTTGGCTCTCAATTCAGTCATTCAATCTTAGAGAAATGAAAAAATAGAGCATAGTAAAAATAATTATAACTTATTACTTACAAATAATTTGAGAGATAAAATTTGATTGAGAAACGAAGAAGACCAATTAAATATATACAATACAAGACTGCTAAAAAGTATTAATTTACTTATAGGATTATAATTATTATTACAATTATAAGGTAATTATCATTGATTATTATATAATAATATAGATCAACAGTTGGTTTTTTCAGAATTAGAATTTTTATTTTTATTTATATTTTTATATATTTAATGTAATCTTTTATGTATTTTGTAAATATTCATTCTTCATTTGTAAATGCGTATTTTTAATGTTTTTGTGTAATTTCATTATTTGTAATTAAGGCCTTTATATTTTTGTAAATGCAATAATTTTAGCCTTTGGCTACTTTTTGTATTATTTTTATACCTGAATAAAATAAAATAAAAAATAAATATTGAGTATAACCTGCATTCTTCCCCACCTACTAGGCAGTTTTTAATATATTACAGTGCACCATCCAATTTGAGACCCCTCTAATTCCGAGACCCCTCTAATTCCGAGACCTCTCTAATTTCGAGACCCCTCTAATTCTAGACTTAAATAAAAGTCTTCAACCTTTTAACATAAAGCTAGTTCTTTTTTCAGGTCCCAAAGGGGGTCTTGAATTGGAGAGTTAACTGTTTTAAAATAATATAAAATATTTTTGGCAATTTGTAAGATCTTCATTTAAATAATTTGTATTTTTAAATTTTTCAGTATACAGTACAACTGAATTATCTAATCAAGGTGCGTACACTGGTAACATTTAGCTATGGGAAAGGGATTGTCAATCCTATTCTCAGTATAAATTGAATGCAAAATTTACTGGATACGACATTCAAACAAAGATTTAACAGTGAGTATACCTGTTTATGTTTCTTTGCTTTGGCTCTCTGTGCATACCACATACCAATCTCACGTCCTTTCAATCCTGGAGGTGGGCCACCTCTACCTCCTCTGCCACCCCTACCCCCTCCTCCTCTCCCTCTTCTTTGCCACTCTCCACCATCTCTGGTCCTTTCTGCTTCAGGATCAACTTCATAATGTCTATGCCCACCGAAGCCTCTGTTACCCCTTCCTCTGCCACCTCTACGATCTCTTCCCCTATGATAACCTTGTTCAGCCATGCATGAAGTCACTCTCAGTGTACCAGAGATAGTTGGAATGAAGTTTCTCACTGAAGTTAACAAATTTAACATTCGTACCACTTACGATCATTCTAAAGAAATGAAAACAATGTGATTGTTTGTCAACATCAGGTCAAGCAAACAAAAAATAATATTTACACTCAAAATCTTACAATTCTAGCCCTATGGTCAATGGTCAAGTATTATATAGCGCCTTCACTGAATAACAAAAACTGTCTCAAAGCACTTTTAAGCCACAAGAAACAAAAATTATTTAAAGAACAGTCGCGAATGTAAAGGGGGGAGGGCCTGGGGGGAAGGTGTCGTCACTACCATGTCCACGCAGTTACCTTGGTGTAAGTTTACTGCTCTCCGGTACTAGGTGGCCTAGATAGCTTCCGCCACCCAGGATAAGACCATAGCTTCCCTACCTCACTGCTATTATTGGCTGTGCCAGGAGTAGGCCCTACTCTGTCTGGTAACGCAAGGGGTGCAACTTCACAGGAAGAAAAGACTTAAAGTTTAAAGGCCTAGGCTAGGCATTAGCCTAGGCCTAATCTAGAATTGAAAAAGACCTCTTTCCATGTAAATTCCTAGGCGTACACCAAACCTACCCTCGATATGGCTAGGCCTACCATAGTAGTAGTACTACTACTAGCCTAGGCTTAGTGCCGCTTCTCGCCGCCTTCACTGCAGCAAGCGACTAGGCCTAGTAGTAGGAGAGCCAGCCTAGGGCTTACTTCTCTACTTATAATATCCCCTATAGTTTAGTAGGGCCCTAAAGAAACATGTCATTAACTTTTATGCATATTTAGCGAAGGACCAAAGGCTTGTTAATGTTACGATTTGTTCATGTCGGATGTGCAAGCAGGTAGGCTAGCCTAGGCCGAACTTGCAAACGTACCTGCTGAGCTAGGCCTAGTTCTGCCTGAAGACCGGCTATATTCATCTGTCCCGTTTGGCGCTCCATAGTCCTTCTTTAAATCGATCATCAACCTTCTTCCTTCCGTGACGTGACGTACGTGTGTGTTCGACGTTTCACAACCAACAAACATGGCTTCACCGGCGAAATGGGACGTGGTATCGCATGGAAAGAAGAAAAAAGACAAGAAAGCGTCTAAAAAAGCATTTATTGAAAATGCTACTGTTGTCGACACTTCTGGTACATTTACTTTTTTTAACATTTCAAATAGACCTAGTTTAGGTTAGTCTATCTACTTTTGTATGTTACAGGTCTGGTGGTAGTAGGCCATCGCTGATGCCTTGCCTAGGCCGTAGGCCTAGCCTCGGCCTACGTGTCACTTTCAGTCTGGCGTAGCAGCATTGTTCATTTGACTCTATGAATCTGATGAGAATCGAATTACAATAACATACGGTAGGCCTAGCGCAGCATTAGTGAAGTGATTGGTTTTGAATAAATATTTAGAGAGAAAATCTGTTGAAATAATGCTGCCTTGTACTTAGCCTAAATCCAAGATTAGTATAATTTATGAATGTTATGTTATTTTTGTGAAAGTTGCTGACATGTTGACATATATTTAGGCCTAGGCCCTAGGCCCCAAACCAAACCAAAGCATAAAGTATCCCCAGATTGTTGTAGACATAAATCAACCTAGGCCTAAATAGCTGTAATCGACTAAGTAGTTACATTCAAACTTCTAAGATTTAGTTAATTGTAATTCAAATGTACAGCATGTATTGTAAAACTAATTAGTAGATTCCACAAAAACAGTGCAAAATTTCAATTGAAACAAAACATCCAATGATAGAAAGATGCTTCTTCTAACAGGGACAGCAATCTCCAACCAAGTACCAATTACCAAGCGTATGCCTACATTGTTCCTTGAATCAGATTTTTCTTTAAAAATGAAATTTTGCCAGGAATCAGGAAGCTTAAGACTAAGCTGAGTGTCATATTTTCATCATATCATATTATTTCATTAATCTACTCTACCCGTAGCTCCTTTGGAAACTACCAGAACCATCTACCAGGCTTTAGATAAAAACAAAGCCCCAAGCCCTGTTATTAGTACAACATCAGCAACAGCTCCCAATGGCATACACGGGAAGAAACCAACTCAAACCGGAGATAAACCTACGAAATCAAAGAAGAAGGAGAAAAAACCAGCCCCAGTGAACTCTTTAGAGGATGCCGTAAAAACATTGGATTGTAACGAGATGAAAAAACAATTTAACGACATCAAAACAAGATGTCAAGCTCCATCTGTAAGTTGAATTATATTTGCAGTGGCTATTGTTAGTGTTACACCAGTCAAACCAATTCCTAATTCTGATTGGATGATATTACTCTAAACCAAACCACACATACAATAACTTAGGAATTGGTTTAAGACTGGCGTAATAATAGACAGTTTTATTTTTTACAGAATTTTGTTACTATTTACAGTTAATTCTAATTTTTCTCATTTATCCAATCCATTTGTATAGAAATCAAAATGCCCATCTTAATTTAATACATATTCAAATTATTACCGTATTGTTACTTGCCACTGACTGGCATGGGAAATACCTTAAATGCATTCAGACTAAATAATTATAGATAAAGATCTTTTAATTTAGTGCATTTGTCTTTCCAGTGAACCTTGTATGCCATTTTTGTGGGGGAATTAGGATTCATAATAAAAAAGTTTTTGTTCATTGTTGCTTGTAGTTGTCACTTGGTGAGTTTGTCAACTTCCTAAATGTCAAGTTGAGTGTAGCCACCAAGATCACAGACCCGTTCTTCTCAGATAAGCCTGAAGGTTTGTACTGTAATAAAGTATTTAAGTTATCATCGTTATTATCTAATCATTTATCCATATCATCATCGTTACCATCTTAATCGTCATCATCATCATAATGGTCATTGTAATCATCATCATTGTTATCGTTGTAATCATCATCATTGTTATTGTTGTAATCATCATCATCACTGTATATATTTTTTTATAAATGTTGTTTGTAACTAGTTTTGTTTTATTACTGGATGCAATTATTATTTTTGTACTTGAATATTATGTTGGCTTATTGTAAATTAGGATAAATTTCAGAATTTTTTATTTTGTTAGCCTTTCCTAGTGTTTTTTATGTTTTATGTGTTTGAAGGAAGATAAATAAACCAAATAAACTAGAATCATACTCATCATCAGTGATATCATTGTTATTATCGTTATCATTATCATCAAAACAGTCTCGGTGAACATTTAATGTATTCAACATAATTTTTCTTATTACTGACGACAAAACTAATTTCAATTAACAAACTCATCATTAATTATTATTGATTAATATGCATTGATATTTTCTTTTGTTGTTACTATTAATAAGCCCTGTATTTACTAATGGTAAGTAGATGAATAGATGTTAACTTTCTCTTCCTACAGCTTATCCTCTGAGTGCATTGACCAAAAATCAAGTAGAGGTGTTAAGAACAACATTTAAGGAGTTTGAGGAATCTATGCTTGAGAAGTTCTTCATCTACTGTATGACGGAGATGAAGAACGATTCAGGGAAAGGTACGACATAACGACACATTCATGGTGTTATGGCATAATAATACCCAACTCTTTTATTTTTTACGGTAATCGGTAATAGAAATATTGTACATAAAAATACAGCGCATATTACGATTGTTAAGGATAATTAGTACGACAACCTATCATAGTACTAGTGCACTTTTTGTAAATATTTATCTTTCTTGCTAAAACAGTGTTTTCTACACATTTTCTGTAAGTCTAGTCATATTATTTGTACAGGTTAGTTTATCTTTGAGGTGGATTTTCTCAAAACGTGGTTCTTATGCACCTAAATTTTAAATGCTCACATCTCTGGATTTACTTATAGTAGGGAAGCCGTTCAAAGACCAAATGAAAGCTTATAATGTGATCTACCCAAATATAATATAAACTCAATTTTTGAATTTCTAACCATGAGACTCATTTTTTGGTGAGACCTCACATATAAATAGATTAACAAAGAAATTAAATAATCAGTATGCAAAAGAAAAAATGAAAAAGAATACACTAAATTAAAAATAACAATTCAAAAAGAAGCTCACAACCCGATATAGAATTTTTTTTTTCCTTCTTTTTCATTCTTATAGCTTGCTAGGGATTCTTGTATTTATATTTATGTATATGAATTCCAAAATAGAGAGAGAAATGAAATGAAAATTACCAAAGGTCAATTTAGGTGATTAGCAATTTATTAAACCTGTATGGTTATGGTGTCAAATATTTATAGGGGACCACACAGTGTCTTGCAGATGGTCCACCAATCCCTGGTGTGGATAGATGAGGATATTTGTATTTTCACCTGTTTACTTTGTGTCTTTATTTTCAGCTGGCCCTAACTATGGCTATAGAATCACAATCCAATTCCTTGCCAGAAATTATCCAGAATTTGTTACCAAGACAACCAAATCTGTGAGTTTTCATTCTGTTTCATTTAAAGATCATAATGTTTAGCTACACTTATAAACTTATAATAATAAAATTTAATATTTGAATTGCTTGAGTACCCAAAAGTGATGTGAGTATTGCTTGGTTGTATTCGGTGAGTAATCACACATTCTTACAGTAGGGCCATACAAATTGTATACTGTATACCTTTACTGAGCTTGACATATTCATATCACCAACTGGCTTCCAACAGAATGTACAGTATATATCAGTGAACTTATTATCTAATGTAATCAAACAATTAATCATTTGTTTTAGCTAAAAGTTCAACAAAAAAATATAGAAATTATGTATGGCAAGTCCAACAAGTTCTCGTAATCTTGAAGCTCCGATGAGGGCAGTATAATATAGGCATAGAGCTAAAAAAGATCTATTAATCAACTACTAATCAATCAGCCGAGTGTTTCTAGAGCTTCACATGAGGGCAGTATAATAGAGGCAGTAGAGCTGAAAATGATCTATTAATCAATCAACTATTAATCTATCATCCTCATGAGGGCGGTAGAGCTGAAAGAAATCTATTAATCAATAAGCCAAATGTTTCTAGATCTCCTGACCGGAGCTAAAAAAATGAAAAAAAAAGGGTAATATAATTCTAATGCATTTTATTTACCTAATTTATTATTTATTTCTGTTGTATTTTCGGTTCTTCCTGTTTAGAATCTAGAGTTTATCAAGAAGAAGCAAGGTATGCAACAGCAATGTCAGTTTGTGATGTGGGTATGCAGTCAGGCTGGTAATGATGATGTTCACATGGCATTTAAAGGTAAGGGTTTGTGGCATTCTAGTTCAGATGCCCATATTGCTGTGTTTGAGGTTCAATCATTCTTACAATAAAAATAAACCGCACTCCCCATTATGACTCTATTTATTATTCTCGAACTTCATGATGAAACTTGGCTGTACAGCACCAAGTGTATTGAATGATATGACTCATCTTCAGCAACGAAACCAAACCATCCAGATAATTGAGGCATGTTGTGGCAAAATGGCTAAGTTGTAGCAAAAATTGAAATTCAAGTTATAGGTATTTTCAGATACCTGAGTATGTGATCTTTAAAATGAGGGGTCATTCAATGAAATTGGACATTTCAAGCCTAAGTTAATGGAAAGTGAAAGTACAGTACTCTTAGAGTCAAGATAAACATGATTTTGAGTAATTGCCTTTCAAAGTTATTTGTGCATACATTGTTTAATCATGGAGGAAGAAATGAACTATCAAAATAACATTAAATAAATTTGTTGACCACTTCCAGAACTAATACTCTGGGACATGATTAATAAGACATTAAACTGTTGATCTATAGTGAAAACCAAATTGGGATTTTTAGGCAATTTTTTGAGCTCCCATATTTTATAGCTCATTTACTCAATACTGGACTGTGCAACAACATAACCATTTCGCCACGCCATGCCTCAATTAGGTCACTACTTACCTCAAGTCTGTTAATTTATCTTGTTAAAGAAGGTTAAATAGTTATGGGATAGTTTCTAAAAATGCATTTCTCTTACTGATATTATATTTTTCTTTTTTGGGATTGAGGTGTTTAATAGGAAATACTTGTTTATAGTTGCAATAATATTTCACTCAGATATTCTCCATAAGTAATACATGTTCTGTCATTCTTTTCCTATTAATTTCTATTATGTTTTTTTTTAATTTTTAGTTTGGAGTGATCTAATGCTTCCTCTGATTGGATATAAGGCCTTTTCACAGTTTTCTATTAATTATCTTGCAGATGTAATTGAGTAAGTACTTAGCCATTGTTTATAAACGGTTGGCGCATCCGGTGTGACTTCGACCTCAAACCATGTGGTCAGGGTATTGAAACTCTTGCTCGTTTAAGTCACTTGTGTCCTTGGGCAAAGCACTATATCTATATTTGTCTCTCCCTACCCAATAGTATAAATGCGAACCTGGAAGGAGGATGTTGTAGACTTGATTGTGCTAGTTTCGTGCGCTGAGTGCATGCTACTGCTAGGATACTCCCCAGGGAGCAGAGAAGGTTGTACTTTGAGCTGGTTTGCCATTCTAGTTATCAATTGACCGTCGGTAATAGAGGTCAGCACCTTTGGTCATTGATTTGGAATTGGCGCTATATAAATATTTTTTGCATTATTATAATTATTATTATCTGTGAAAATACAGTCCCAGAAGTTGTACTTAATTTTATGATCATTATTATTAACAAAAAAAATATCTTGTATTATAGGAGGATGAAGAAACAGAAGGTTGCCAGGTTGAACTTGACACCAAGTGAATTTTTCCCAATTTTAGATTTTGTCTTCACACCTAATACTTCGCTTCCACAAACGTAAGTACATTTGTATAGATTCATACTTTATTTTTAATCGTTCTCTCTGAAATATAAAGCTCTTTACAGAAAGAAACTTACAGGTAGTGATTATAATAATGATGATAAACATATTAATAATTATTTTTAATTAACTTAATGACACATTTATTTCAAAGACTCAAGCAATAATAATCTTCCCCATTTAGTTGATACAAGAGAAAATATGTTTATTATTATAATGTATAATCATAAATTTCTTTTTATTTTACACAGTTTACAACAGAAATTGGAAGGGTTATATCCAAAATTGAAGGTAAAGAATGCTGAATATAGTCACTGTGGATGATTTGAATTATATTTTTATATATTACATCTAAATGTTAAATTTTTTTATTAAAAGAGAGAGAGCACATTTCTAAAATATAATTCTTAAATAGATTTTTTAAAAGTAGAATAATCTCAAATATTTACACAATGTATTTGACTCTTATGACATTTTAGGAGATGGCATTTGGACATCACCCGCAAGAAACTCTCCGCCATTATTTTCCTTCGCTTCTCACAAGGGTCACAGGTCACAACTCACCCAAGTACAAAGCTGAGGTAAGCATTGTGTCATTGTATTGGCGCTATGTAAATGTGGTATTACTGTTATTCATCATTATCATTACCCATAATGCAGTTCATTAAACCGAGTCAAATGGCTGAGCTGTAAGGCAGGGGTGCTGTAAACTACAGATTTAACATTGCTGGTAGCCACTCCTCGCCCAGGTTTAGGTTGGTAGAACCAAATCTTCAATAATCAATAAGGACTTAAAAACGGGAGGCCCAGTGTATACATTTGGCTTATGTGAACTTTAAAGAACCCATGGCATCTTTTGGAAGAGTAAAAGGTTATCCCGATGCTATGTGTCATTTCAGCCCCTGTCGTAATAGAATGATGTGAACTATCCGCCTCTCTGCGGCTGCCACAGTAGTCACGGTACATGCCCATATGCAATTCTGCACAATGATGCTGCGAGTTGTGGGTTATTGTCCTACCTTTACCATGTTTGTGCGTCTTAAGCTGCATTTGCATTTCCGATGAGCTGAACGAAGAGTCCCTATTAATAATGGATTCAATAATCTAATAATAATAATTAATAATGATTAAAATATTAATAATAATAATAATGATGATGATTCAATTTTCTGATCAGTTTAGTGTGTGAATGCAGTGGTTATTGACGATATTTTACTATTATTTTTTGCTCTCAGTTGCTGTCCTGCCTTGTACGCTGCCTGTCCACAGACCGACAGTGTCTTAGTGTTTGGCGCCAATTGTACGTATCTCATCTACAGCAATCTGGAATTCTTCTGACCCATCTTCTTGTTCAGTGGGAGGGACAGACAAAATCAGTAAGTAGCTTTGACCTCTAAAAACATGAGGAAAGCATTCATGTTATTTATTTTATTTCAAGAACCACATCCAACAGCAATCACATACCAACAGGGATGTAGTTAGGGTGGGCAGGGCCACCCAGCCTTGAGGATTTCCACCCAGTCTAAAGCTAATTTTGTGGCCCTCCACCGACCCTTATTAACTCACTTACATCCTTACAATCCACTCTTATTATTTAGAGTTTACCAATGTTATCACACACTCACCCTCAAAATGTCTATTTTATTTGAATGTTTGTAGATTCCAAGGCAGTGGCTGCATGAAACCGTTCAAGCATTTAGCATCACAAATGAAGATCTTGCAAGTGATAATAAGGTTGAAGAATGCAAGAAAACATGTCAAGTAAGTTGATGTGGAATATACTATTACTCTGAGATATCATTTATTAAATTGTTTATTATTTATTAATTTCCTAAGATATCTGTCTATTTGTATATGTATTTAACGAAGGCTACACAAATTCATTTTTTTTTTTTTATCTTTCTTCTTTGAAACAGTGGCACTCAATATTTGTTGGCTCATCCAATTATACAACACAAACATATAAAAGTACAATATTAAATAGTGACTTTTAGAGCTTCTTTAAAATAAAATTACATGAAGTGCCCCCCCCCCACCAGGTCTCCCTAGCTACCCTTGTCACATCCAGCAAAATTACCCACTTGAGATACATGATTCTTTACAATGTTATGAATTATTTTGTTATTTTTTGTGCTGATACTTGAAAGAAAGAAACTATATTTGGCTGTTGGTGGTGTAAATGTAAATTGTTTTGAGTACATTTAATTTATTTAAATGTTTATATACATTTCTTGTTATCCTCTTGTAGGAACTGTTACTCAAAATGACAAGTTTTGAGTTTCCATGGAAGATTGCCCTTCTTATTTTATTCATCAGTGCTGGTATTCTCCTGTTTGTAGACGTTAACTCCTCAGGATCTTTTGCAGGTAAAGCTATAGGGGGCAGTACCTATCAAGATGTTCTTCCATTCTTTCTCAAAAAGTTGTTTGTCAAATTCACTAGAAGATATACTTTTCTGTACATTCATTTATTGCGGTGTAAACCTGCACTACTATTGGTGTAGAACTGAAATATATAATCTTTTCTTGACTATCTTTATAGGATCAAGGTTAGTGGCTTTTGGACAGAAGTCTGGCCTGACAGCAGTGTTGACACAGGCTTGGAACAAATTGGCCTTCTATTCATCAATTGCAAGCAAGTAAGTTTACCATAGTTTTAATAGTTGTTTTTTGCAGCTTCTGATGCTGAAAATAGAGAGGTTTCGCACACGAACGAATACATGTATGCATACGTTTAGCTATCAGTAATAGTTCATAGCCATTCTGTGTTTTTCGCAATCACAGCGCAATTCAAGCGTAGCCTAGGCCTAGGGCCTTAGCTTAGGCGTACTATACTCTCTCTTCTCTCATCATACTTTTCAAAGTTTTATTAGTATATGTAAGTTTTTGGAAATTGAAATTGAAAATTGTAGCCGAAAAATACTTCCTTTGTTGCCCAAAAGTGTGGGTCATTTTGTGATAGGCCCTATTGTTTATGACCCAAAAGTGCCTGGTTACAAGTAGGCCTAGGCCCACACAAAATCCCGACACCACCAAGGTCAAAGCACCGATGTCTTGATACCCCAAAATGAGACGCATCCTATATTAATTTGCTGTCTTCAAATATTACAAAAATGGCATGTAAGTATTCAAAGATTTGCCCGACGGGGGGTGGGGGGGCGATGCCTGCGACGAGAAGGAAGATTTCGCCTACGAGAGCAAATTGGGCGTGGTCGAGCGTCGCTTAAAATGTTTGAAAAATGGTCAGGGGACGAAGCCCCCTGGAAGTTTGACAATTTAGGGGTTTCAAAAGCTTATTTAATTGATTGTAGAGTCTAATATTTTGCAAAATGCATATAATTTTTTTTCTTCCCTCCCCCCACGCCCCGCTCGCGCCACCCCTGCATTGTGCACAGCCACACCACATCACCCTAGTTCTATTGCCTCTAGATTCAGCCAGATAGTAAACTAGACATTAAAAATATTGTACTTTCTTTCCAGGTGGCTACTTGACAATGTTCCTAAATATTATGCACAATTTTGCAACTTCTGTGCTCCATACTTACGACTGCTCCTGCAATACTTGGCTTTCAGCTGGAACTACTTTTTAGATATTACGCAACCAATTCAACAATGGTTGAAGCAGAATATTCCTATTGCAATTGCTTGGGTGAGTAGGCGTACTGATTGTTTACCCACAATTTTACAGCGAAAATGATAGAAAAACCTCCAGTCACTAGAAGTGTTTTATTATTCATATCCAGTACAAAAATTAGGGTACATATTTTTTATATTCAGTATATCTATGATCCAGAATAATAACGTGTATGTTACTGCAAAATGAGCAAGTTAATTTCAAATAAAAGTGTTTTTGTTTTTTTTTTTGTCATTTTCAGGGTACAATACATTTTATGTGTTGTACCTTAAATTTTCTTTATTGTTTTTATGCATCTTTCTTGAATTTCATACTCAACTTTGCATTTTCCTTTTTTTGTTGTCTGAAGTTTGTTGTTTCCATTGTTTTAAGTTCTGTCTTTTTAGCAGCAGGCTAATAAGAAATTGAGCTGAAAATTTTTAAAAACTTTATTCTCTACCACTAGTTAAATATGTTGTATTTTGTTTCCTTTATAGGTGGAAGTCAAGACCCCAATATTTTTGGAGGCTGTCTTGATGTACCTGACAGTTGCATACAATTTTATTGCATATTATGTTGGAATCATTTGGGCTGTGGTTGGGCCATATTTTGTAGCTGTCTCAAATTTTGTTGAACCATATGTCAATCAAGCATACGAGGGGGTAATTGGATTTGTCAGGAGCTCTTAAAAGGTAAATTATATACAGTATATGTAGGAGAATAGCCCATAACTCACTGAGTCATTGCTATAAATATGGGCATGGTTTGTGACTACCTAGCCGCTGTAAAGTGCCACTGCCTACATGTTCCATCATTCCTCAACGATATGGGCTGAAACGAACCATAGCATTTTGGTAACCCCTTAATCTTCCGAAAGATGCAATGGGTTCTTTAAAGTGCACACAAGCCAAAGATGTACGCTGGACCTCCATTTCAAGTCCTTATCCAAGAAAAACCACCTGGGTAAGGTGTGGCTAGAACCAGCGCCGATTTTAAGGCTGTAGTTAGCGGTGCCCCGCCTTACCGCTCGGCCACTTAACTCGCCCCCATCACCACCTTCCCTGTCCACTTCCCCCTGTCATTTGTATTCAACATTTGGTTAGCCACCATTTACATGATAAAATATGTTATGCTGTAAGGCTTGTGATCTTGTGATGTTTTTTAACTCTAATTTGAACCCGTAACCCTGGAATTAAATGTTAAACACCGGTATAGTTTTGCCCTACTAAACCAGAAATAAAGCTTATTATTAAATTATTCAATATTATTATTTGCCATGATCCAGGGTAATCATTTATCCATCTCATTTATTATTCTTTAATAAATGGTAATAATATTTTCTCATTTTTCTTTACAGTTTACTTCTTGGTCACCCAAAACTGGAAGAATTTGAAGACAGGCATAAAAATATACAGATAATAATAATGCTGTTAAAAGGTTTTTCATACCAAAACATGTTTTATTTTTTAAGGTAACCTGTACCAATATTCTGGTTTAAAAAAAAATTGAGAGGCGATAATTAAAATAAAGATATAACAGAATATGTTGGGTTTTTGCTGTAAGATTTGAAGCATTATGAAAATTAGTATGAAAATTAGTTTAAGCCCCGCCCAGACTCAAATTTATGATGACATCACACCATGACCATATATAGGATCATCATGACTATATATAGGATCATCATGACTATATATGGGCGTACAACGGTTTGAAAATTTGGTAACCTGGACGGTGCTTTAGGTAGTTTATTAATATAATGCAACTACTCAGTACTTTGATATTTGCAGGCAAATACAGTAAATATTAATAGTTGAAATTTAAGCATTCAATGCTGTAAGAAATGAATGCATTAGTAATATATTATGTTTATAACATGGTGTTCCTGCCTTTGTTAAATTAACATGGGAAGCAGGCCCATTAGACAGAAAAGAATGCTCCAAAATGCAAACGATTTTAATATTGTTAAGCTGTATTTTAATTCTGGCAGCTTCAATACCTCTGTTGTAATTTTATTGCAATTTTGTTTATGCAATTCTTTTAGTGAACTGTGAAATTTATGATGGATACATCTACATGCCAACATTTGTTTTATAGCACCCACATAGTTCTTACAGTACAGTATTTCTAATGGACTAGTATTCATGGCTTTAATTAATCCATCACATTTTATCTATTGAATTAATTGATCGATACAAGATTTGTTATTAGTGGGTTTTCTTGCATTCCAAAATCAGAGTTCAATATATTTTCTTCCGGTTTCCATGATTTCTTATGTTATTAATGAGTAAGAATAGAATTCGATAGTTTATGTTCTTATCAAAGTAATATATGTTGAATAATGATGAATACACGCTATTATGTTCTATTTAATTGTTAGACAATTATCTGTAGACAAATAATGTACTGAAATGTGTCTTTATTTAATGTGCTTTGTATAGATTTTAGATTACAGTAAATATGTAAACAAAATAATTTCTAATTGATTAATGATTGACATGATTATGAAGGCCAAGCTGGTACTTTAAATTACCCATCATTTTTTCCTTGAATAATGCATAATACAACAATTGTGTTATTGTATTATGCAATATTTTCTTCAAAATATTGTATAATACAATAGCATAATTATTTTGGCGATTGTCACACAAAGATGTGTATGCCTGCAATGACAGTTGGATTCCCATTCCACAGGTGGGAAGGAAAAGTGGGGCCAACAGGCTGCATGTGGCCTAACAGTGATTTTTTTTTTACGGCATGTGAAAATGAATTGAAAACTGTGTGTGCGGCCTGCCAAACATCTTTGGGCAGAAAAACATTGTGTTCCTATCATCGACCATCTGTAAAAAGTAATAAGAACTGAGAATAAAGTGGTATAAATGCAGTGTATGAGGTTTTTGGAAGCACACTGGAAACATCAAAGTTTGAATGCAGCCCTCGGTGTTAAAATTACTTTGGCCCTCCAACTGATTTTTATGCCCTCCCCTGCCCCAGTTTTTACGTAAAATGGTTAATATACTGTAATAAAAATAGATTTTAAAATGGTGGTTTTACTTCACTTTCAGTTGATGACATACACCTGGAATGTGTCCATTAAAAGAAAATATTTAGATTATGATCGTACATGGCTTTATTTTATCTGTGAAATGTAATACCGGTACCTCACATTGTTATCTAAATTTTGTGCATTAAATTTCATTATTTAATCGTAGATTTGCCTAAATTTAGGAGGCATGTAAAATATTATGAAAATAAACATATTCTTTCTCTGAGAGAAATAAATGTGTTACAGAATGTTTATTGAACTTTTATCTGTACGAAAATTATAAACCAACTCCCTAATTAAATAAACAGGCCATTTTCCAAAGTGTACAATTTTTATGTGAATGGTGTTGCTAAATACGATGGCGGAATTATGAATAGGCCTACTGTATTAATGTTTGTATGTACTGTTTAAGATGGCTTGACTTGATGACACAAAATTTGCTGTAATAATCAATGTTGACTGGTAACGGCTGTTTAATGGGTGACGCGAGGATTTGCCCGGGTGCTGGGGCAGATGCAGAGGGTGTGGTCCCACCCCCCCCCAAATTGTATTTAGAATAATAATTGTGTATTGTATTGTTGTAAGGTATGAGAGTGTAATTTCGGGGCACCTAGAGGCAGGCGTGGAACCAGACCTCTTCGCATCGTTTGCCAATATAAAGTGATAGCAGTGCCTGGTGGTCTGGAGAATTCCAACTCCTGTCAGAAATGCCACCTACTTAAACCAAAGACAAATATTTAGACAATATAAACTTTTTGCATTTTCTAAGTATTAATCAAAGAGGGACTGTAATTAAAGTTGGTAGCATAATTGTAGACCTTAGGAACACACTTAGATACAATAAAAAAGAAAGTCAAAAATAACCACCCAGCACTGAGAGACTGAAAATGAACACAGAATCTGAAGAAGAGAAACGACGTGAATGGTATGTAAATTTCAAATCATACAGACTTGGAAGTGGAAAAATAATTTTAATATATATAAATATATATACACTCTCTTATACACATATCATAGAGAAAAAA